AAACAAATCTTTTCGTATCCGTAGTTTACATTAATATATACTTCCAAGTGCTATTTCTCAATTTACACGAGTACCTGTAGTCGCAATTGTTTGTTCTCTTCCATGAGTTGCACTCCCTGCATTTATCACAAAATCATCAAGTTTTATTCTCACTCATACACCATGCAAATTAACCACAACAATGAAATTTTCTTCCTAACTATTTGACTACATTTGTTAAACATGGCTGTATATTAATTAAGAGCAGAAATTTGCGAACAGACTTTTTCCTGCAGATGACTGATCTCTTTCATGATTTTCTCCCCCTGCCAATAAATCACAAGGAAAAAGAAAGAAATTACTTCAGCAAGGTTGTTATTTTATTACAAAACTTACATCAACACATCGAAAAACATAAAACGAATAAAAAGACCTTTTTTTCTATAACTCTGCTAAGTCCACCTTCAAGTGACTTCTCCAGTTTCTGCAGCTCTTCAATGGTTAATCCTTGAAGTTCCTCACCTCTCATACGCCTGCTCATAGAAATATTGTACATCTTGTTGTTTGCTAATTACTACACACAAATAATATCATGATTAATAACTATATAAAATTTAAATCAAACGAAGCATATGCCTTAGCTGATGGGTTCTCTCAGCCACTTCTTTGCTCAGCCTCGCGTGATTGCTGTCCTCAACTAGCTGCATTCATATAAGGAAAATATAACCGTAAAAATAAAATTAAAGCAGAATAATCGTGAAGAGGGCTAGCTATTACCTGCAGCTCGAGAGATGGTTGATCCATTTTGTTAAGGTTCTTGGCATGCAAATTATGCCTTTCGAGTATATCCTTCATACTTCAAGAAATGAAAGAATAAAAAAATGTGTAAATGTCATGCACTGATAATTCTGTGTATTGACCACTAAGCTAAAGACTGTTTAGGCAGAGGAAGGCACATATGTTGCATATTTTACCAACTTTAATGCAAACATTATTTGAAAATTCACATGCTATATTAATAATAGTGTACCCTTGAAGACTATTACACGATCCACGCCCAATTTATGATTCAATTAACTCTAAATTTTACTAAAAATTGTGGAGATTGAGGTGGTCTTTGAAGAAATTGTTATCATTCTCTTAGCTAATTGATAAGCTGTTGGAAAAAAATTAACTCTTCCACAGAAGTCCACCAAAACAAGTTGGTTCTTGTAAATAATATCTACAAAATAATCTTATGTAATGTTTAGTCCAAATGATATATTATATTCTCTGCCTAAATGTTACGACTTCTCTAATTAAAATGGTTTACTCTGAAGAATTGAGTTTCTATTCACAAAATCTCTTGGATCCAAATGGATTTATAATGATTGTTTTACTTCATTTGAAACCTTCAATAATCTACATAAGAAATCTCGCACTGGAGTGTGGGGAACAACAAACACGTATTTTTGTATACGAACACTAGCATTGTTTGAACCTGAAGAGAGTATAAAATATTCATGTATATCATGCTATGCTATGCTCGGCCCGGCCCGTCAAGATTCCTTTAATTACACTATCATGTTGAATGCCTAGTCCTAGCTCATGTATAAAAATTAGAGAAAATTAGGTGTATTTATTAAGCTCGGCCAATCCAGCCCAGTTTAGGAGACCTAATGTGGGCCTAATGTATGATGATATGCTGTGTAAAAGCATTAAAATACCTTGGAACATTAAAAGAAGCTTTTATTTTTATTTATTTATAGTATAGCCCTCAGAAAACTATTGATTTTAAGACGTCATTCACACATTTAAGAAGACTTCCCTAGTTGCATTTCAGCTACATTTGTCAAATAGGCCATCATTGTATATTTTTGGGGAAGCAAATTCAAGAATAGGGTCATATAGTTATTATAGCCACGATTCTAGTTCCATATGAGTAGAATTAGTTGAAAACAGTATGTATATTTTAAAATTAATTAAAATAAAGTCGATTATCATCATCACGTCCCGCCGGAAATGAGACATGTCCCAATTGGCCGGCCGAATTCACATCTTACATCCATGTGGCTTTACATAAATTTAAAAACTAGTCCCGTTAATTCTTAAAAGTGTTTCAAATGTGGTCTCATTGGAATCAAATTAATCAATAATTAGTTTCATATGTTTTAAGATTAAATTTAAGAGTGGGATTTTATACCCGAGAACCGGAAACCTAAGGGTGCATTTGTATATGAAAAACTCAATTCATACTCAAATCATACTCAAAATTTAACCCAACTCCACAATCATCAATATTGTCAATATAATTCACTACAAAAAATATGAGTTTTACCAACGGAATAATCCGTTGGTAATGAAATTTCCCAACGGAATGCCAACGGCTTACCAACAGATTTTTTTTTTTGCTATATGGCTTGTTACTAAATATTGCCAACAGAAAATACAATCTGTTGGGAAAATTCTCAAAGGATTACCAACAAATTTGCAACGGAAATGCTTCATGAGATTGTCAATGGATTCCCAACGGAAAATGTAGTTGCTAAATCATTCCGTTGGCAAATTACTAACAGAAAGCCAACATATTAGTTACGAATATACTAATGGATTACCAACGGATTTTTCTCAACGGATTTCTAAGGTAATTTTCCCAACGAATTACCAACAGATATTTTTCTAACGGATTACCATCGAAATTTTCCCAACGGATTACTTACAAAATTTTCCCAACGGATTGCTAACTAATATTTTTTCCCAACGGATTACCAACGAAATTTTCCCAACAGATTACCAACGCATATTTTTTCCAAACGGATTGCCAACGGACTTTTTCCAACAGATTACCAACAGATTTTTCAGCCAAAAAAAAAAACAATAATAATATTGTTGATCCAACTTGGCTCACCTTGAGCCCATGGCCACCTTGAACCACACGGCTCACCATGACCCATGGCCATTTACCAATATAATCCTTAGTAATTCTCACAATTCTCCTAATAATAGGGCTTGAACTCAAGACCTCCCTTAGTAATTCTTACAATTCTCCTAACAATAGGGCTTGAACTCAAGACCTCCCTTAGTAATTCTCACAATTCTCTTAACAATAGGGCTTGAACTCAAGACCTCTTGCATGGTAAAGAGACAACACCACCACTAGGCTATATGAATGTATGAGACTGGATTCTATAATTCTTATATATATATATATATTCTATATTTAAATTCATAAATATTTCTATATTATTTATGATCTAACCGTTCAATTATATTAGGTGTTTTTTTTTAATGTCTAATTATAAAAATAGTGACTATATATATTAGTATCTATGAATTTATGACATTATTAAATGAACTAGTACGAATCCCGTGTGACGTACGGGTAAGAAATATGTATTAGATTTTATAGATTAAAAATACACATTAAATATTTATAAATTAAAAATATCGAATCAATGTGTAATACAATTTACCTATATTAACTTATTAAAATGTTATACGAAATTTAAACTGTGAAAAATTACATAAAATGTGTCTATTTAAATTAGTACACAACCCGTACGGTGGACTAACTGATAATAAATTATATAATATTTATTTCAAAATAAGTGACATTTTAAAAGAAATATTTGTAAATTCAATTACAATGTGATTCCATTATAGAAATATTTTGGTATAATTTTATCAAATATTTAAATATCTATTAAAATAATAAGTATAATTATAAAACTTATATTGTTTAGTTAATTAAAATGAATTTATTTTTGTATAAACTATCCAAACAAAAAATTTTAAGTAGTTGAGTAATTTATTAAATTAAATAATTAACTATTTCATTTACGTCAAAGTTAGTATTGACTCATACGTTATAAATAATTACTTATTTAAATTTTAAATTTGAAACTCAAATTTGGACTACACAATAAATTTTCATTTATATATGTATGTATACACACACAAACACATATATATATATTCTCGCAATTTTCTAGATTTTTTGTCGGCCACCTTATCATTCAAATTTATTACCTCATTAAATAATGTTTACAAAATAAAAATATGGAATAAATATGTAATATAATTTACCTATATTAATTTATTAAAAATATTATATGTAATTTAAACTGTGCAAAATTACATAAATGTGTCTATTTAAATTAGTACACAACTCGTACAGTGCACTAACTGATAACAAATTATATTATATTCCTTTAAAAATAAGTGTCATTATAAAAATTTTTATTCACAAATTAAAATAAATATTTTGGTAAAATTTTATCATATATCTAAATATCTTTATAAATAATAAGTATAATTATAAAATCATATATATGTATATATGATTTTTTAATATCATCTATATATCATCTATCATAATATTCAATACTCTAATTAAAAAACAATATCACAAAATTCAACGATAATACGGCCTAATTACTAATTTCACTTTTAGGCTTAACATATTTAACAATGTCATAAAATCATATATATATATATATATATATATATGATTTTTTTTTTAATTATTATGATATATAACAAATTCTAAAAATGAATGGAATGCATATGTGGCACATATTTATTTTGAATTGATTTAAATATTATTAAATTAATTACATAACTAAATAATATTAATGTAAATTAAATATTTATCATTATATATATATATATATAAAGAATTTTACTTTTGTAAGTGTTATAAATATTAATAATAATAATAATGAACCTATACGATTTTGAAAGAGTTTGTTGTTATTCCGTTGCTATTTACCAACGGAATAATCCGTTGCTAATACAATATTGAATGTGTCTGTTGCTATTCCGTTGCTATTTGGCAACGAAAAAAATCTGTTGCTATTTACCAACGGAATAGTCTGTTGCTATTACAATTTTGAAAGAGTTTGTTGTTATTCCATTGCTATTTGCCAACGGAAAAAATCCGTTGCTATTTACCAACGGAATAATCCGTTGCTATTTACCAACGGAATAATCCGTTGCTAATACAATATTAAAGGTGTCTGTTGCTATTCCATTGCTATTTGCCAACGGAAAAAATTCGTCGCTATTTACCAACCAAATAGTCCGTTGCTATTATAATTTTGAAAGAAATTGTTGCTATTCCGTTGCTATTTGCCAACGGAAAAAATCCGTTGCTAATACAATATTATGTTGCTATTTGCCAACGGAAAAAATCCGTTGCTATTTACCAACGAAATAATCCGTTGCTAATACAATTTTGAAAGAGTTTGTTGCTATTCTATTGGTATTTTGTTTGTATTTACTAACGGAATATTTCCGTCACTATTTGCCAACGGAATACAAAGATATAATTTTTGTTGCTATATTTTGTTAGTATTCTATTGGTAATCCGATTATAAAAATTGTATATATAATGCATTACTAATCCGTTGGTAATCTCCAACAGAAAAATTTTTGTTGGTAATTTTTATTGGCATTTTGACAATTTCTTGTAGTGATTGAACATAATATCAATTAATTATTCTTATACATCACATCAATTTTAATTTACTATCACTCACTCACATAATTTTAACTATCACTTCACATCATCTCTCTCAAATTCTTATATCAAATCAACTTTAATTATTTTATTTTAAATATTATTTTAATATAAAATTAAAATATAACTAACAACTAACCATACCACTTTTTTTTAAAAATTAGCTATATTTAACAAAAAATAACTCATTTTGAATGTATATATTTGTATACAAACACGCCCTAACTAACCAAACCAAAAATAACTAGTTCAGTCTAGTAATTTTTTAAAAAAAATATATTTTTTCCAATTCGGTTATCGTTTGCACAAACTGATTCCGGTTCCCTGTTTCATTCCAAATGTATGTATATTAATC